TTTATACAGCAGTGGAAAGCCATATTTCATCTCTTGTCTTTTTATCATCTTCCCAAGTTTATATTTCTTTGTGTCCCCCATAATGATCTCATCCCCTCCTCTCTCCACATTATTCGTATCTGATTGTCCCTTCTTCTTCTCTCTCTCTCTCTCTCTCCGTTTTTTGTACAGTAGTTTAATACTCATAAAAATTCAGCCCCATAACCATTTTTCATTTACAGTACAGTATTCTAAATCATAACAGAACTGTATTTTATTTTTTTTAATTATGAAAAAGGCTTTATGTTCTCTGGGTCCCCAAGAATGACCTTTAAGTTTTCTTTGCTAAGTATCCCTTAGTAGAGCTTCCCATAATGTAGGAAACAGCTGGATGACAGTCTCAATGGGTGAGATTTTGCTGGAAGTTAAATACAGTACTTACTGTATAGCTATCTTCTCATTTAGTTAAATCCAGATTAAAATCTGGATCTGATGACTATCTCAAGACTAGTGATGCTTTAGGTCATCAACTGTTGGGGATCGTGTTTCAAAACCTGACTAAAGCCTGAAACGGGATAAGGGGGTCAGGGAAGTGATACCTTCTGATACAGCTGCTGCAATACTTTTGTTCTTTGATGAAATTACAAATTATTTATTGTATTTTTCTAGTATTGAGGATGCTATATTATTTAAGTTCAATAGTACACCGTAAGTAGCTTATTATACAAAAATATAAATCAATAGGAAAAGCAAGTCTAAAGTTGCAGCAGGCAGCTATGCCTTGGTACTCCCCTCACCTCCCACCTGGTCACATACACAGTATCTTCCCTCCCATTGTTCATGGCTCTTGTTAGGTGTACAGGAAATATGATTACACCAGTATATTCAGTAAGCAAAACTTATACTTTTCATAAGAAAATTTAATGATTTTTAAAACCCTCTTCATTCCCCGTCAGAGTAAGTGGGTTACATAAAACCTTCCAGTCATTTAACGGTAAAATTGAGTGAGAGTAATACTGTACTGTACCTTATCTTGAATTTCTTACATCAAGAATGGAACCCCCAAATTTACACCTATATGCAGCAAAGTGGAGTACTGTATACAGTGACCCCTCCGTTAACGAACTCAATCCGTTCCAGAAGGTTGTTCGTTAACCGAAAAGTTCATTAACCGAAACCATTGTTTCAATGGGTTTTTGGGTAATTGGTTCCAGCTCACCGAAAATTTCCTAAATTCAACAAAAATGGTAGAAAAGTTCACTTACTTTGAGGTGTGTATGTAGAAGGCTCCTGGATGATGATGATGATGATGGGATTTAGAATGGGGGTGGAGGAGAAGGAAGAAGATAAGGCATTGGGGTGGAAGAGAAGTCACCCCATGGCGCCATTTCACCCATAAAATTTTAGCTCTCTTGGTGTAATTCAGGATTATTTTCTTTAAATCAACACTGCACTGCATTATATATTGTCAATTTGTAAAATATATTTCAAAATGACCAATAATTTGCTTGGAAACACAGAAAAAAAGCATTTAGTTGAAGAGAGTCTCAAGCAAGATGTTACCTCCAGTGAAAACAGAGAGAGACTAACTCCTGTTTGCTGTGTTAAGAGGCTGGATGCCGTGCATTAAACTAGTCACTTTACCTTCAATTATGTTCAATAATTGTTAAAATGACTAAAAAATTGAATATTAAACTTTTAAAATTATTGAATAGTATAAACTTCTTGATATTTACTAAAATAGTAAGGAATTTAAGCCCTAGAACCGGTTAATGTATTGGCGGACTGATACTAAAGCTGGTTGCCCGGTCAGTGCAAGCGAAAACATGTTGAGGTCGGTTCGTAAGAACTTCGTTTACCGAATTAAAGATCCTTATGGAAGGCAGTTTGTTAATCGAAATTACGTTAACCGAGGTGTTCGTTAAACGAGGGGTCACTGTATCTCATTACCTTTTGGAAGAAGCAAAAACTAACAATTCTTATCAAAATCTTGCAAATACCTCATGGAATCTCATTAATCTTCAACCTGTTTCCAAGCAATAAACTTATGAAGAGATACAAATATTACTGATAATTGATGTGAATGACATACTCAAACTAAATACTGTACATCACAAGAGCATGTGATATAATAGGACCTTTGTAGTCATTGGCAGGCTTAAGGGGAATATATATAAAGATAATAACAAAAAGTGCCTGGACTTGAGTCAAAGTTTTATCAAGATAATATATTTGCTTGAAGAGCAAATGGGATTTTATGCTACAACCTTTCTCTTATGGCCTATGAAAACTACAAGTGACCTTTGAGACTTAAACCTGATTAAAAAAGGGAAGAGGTGGTCAAGTGTTAAATGAATATCTCAAACACATCCCAACCTAAGAAGCAAATATCTCTGTGAGAGAACAGAAAATGACTTACTTCAAATGCTTTCAAGTGTCACAGGCTAAATTAGGAAGATCTTCAAGCAAATACCGTATATACCTGTGTATAGCACGAGTTCTTAAGACCAAATTTTTTGGCAAAAAGTTGGGGGTCGACTTCTATACGGGTAATAGTTTCGTTAGAATGAAAAATATTTACCAGTAACTACCAGTAAACAATGGAAACGACGCACCAATGCACCGCCTGCTGTGAGTGTCGGTACAGTTGCCAGGGCAGATCTCTTGCGTCATCATAGCAAGCCCAAAGTAGCCAAATGCATGGTATGGTATGCACAGGAGTATGTAAAACATAAAGTATTCTTTTTTAAAATTTTATTTATAGATACATAAATTTTTGTTAATTAAATTTGAAACATCAATCGTTGTTAATTGAATTTGAAACAAAAGAAAAATACGATACCTTATTTATAAATATTTTCATTAAAATATTACATCACAGTATATTTTACCTTAACTGTGCCTGAATGAATATATTCTCAGAAATAAATATGGAAATGTAATATTTTTGCTGAAATGACGTACGTATTACAGTGGAAAGTGGGATAAAATTGTGACGAAAACAATGACTCACTTTCTTTCATCGTTCAAAAGATTTTACCGTAATCGCTTTTCGAATGGTTTTCAGTTAAAAAACGGTTGTATTACAATAATATTCTATCCTAATTGACTTGAATAAATACTACGATACCATATTTCTGAATATTTTCATTAAAATCCATCAAAATCATTTTCCTTGTCATCATCTGCAGCACCAAACAGCTCCTCCCAGTCCTCTCCTTGAACAGCATCGTCATATGGATCAACACCATCATCAGCCATAGGATCATCAATATCTTCATCCTCATTCACGCTCTCATTAGCCTCATAATCCCACAACAAGTCTTCTTCTGTTCCATCAAGAGCATTCGAAATTCCACATTTCTTAAAAGATTTCACCACAATTTCTGGTCTGATTGCATCCCAGGCCTCTACAATCCATTCACATAATGTTGCTAGTGATGGAGCTTGGATGTTGCCTCCCTTTGTGTATGTCTTATCGCCTTCTATCATCCAGTTGTTCCACTTCACTCTTACCGCATCTTTAAATGGTTTGTTTATGGAAACATCCAGTGGTTGGACAAGACTTGCTAATCCACCAGGAATCACAGCTGTATCAGTGTTTTCCTTCCTAATCCCAGCAGTAACACTGTCAACAAGATGTGACCGAAACATATCCCACACAAAAACACTTTTTTCTTTGCGCAGTCCCCCTGGTCTAAAGTTCCAGACTTTTTTAAGCCATATTTGTATGCCGCCTTCATCCATCCATCCTTTCTCGTGCACATGGATGATTAAAAAAATGCTGTCTGACTTGCAACACTGTTGGTAGGGTCAGGTGGTTCTAACGGCACCTGCCAGGACCCGGTAATCAAATTTATAACAGTGTCTAACCTCAATTACTGTAGTTTATCTGATGTAGGCAATATGAAGTAAAAAATACCAGTTAAAGTGAGAAATTGGAAGAGAATAAACAAGAAAGATGTCGTTGGGCTATTTTTGGTAGGGCTGAGGGAGAGAGTACCAGCTGTTTGGTCTTTTTTGGCGGGAGAGTCACGCAAATAACCGTAGTACTGGTATTTGTTTGGTGTCTTCTGTATTTTTAAAAATGAATACTTGTGAATTAAAAGTACCGTAACATTGTATTATATACAAACTTGTCATATTTCTGGAAAATAAGAAGCAAGAAAATAAGAATATACCAGTAAACGCAATTTCAACGTACGCTAAAATTAAAAGCTGCTTAAGAAGGGCCGATGCAAACAAAGCCTCCGCGACCAGGGCTCTGCCGTATCAGCTAGACGGTACACGTGTTTTTCGAATCGTTTTCAGTTAAAAAACCGTTACATCCCAAGTGAATTAGGATAGAATATTATTGTAATACAACAGTTTTTAACTGAAAACCATTCGAAAAGCGATTACGGTAACATCTTTTCAACGAAAGAAAGCGAAAGTAATTGTTTTTGTCATGATTTTATCCCACTTTCCACTATAATACGTACGTCATTTCAGCAAAAATATTACATTTTCATATTCTCAGAAATAAATAGTAGTTTTGCCGAAACATGATGATGTATTTCAATGTAAATTAGGATAAACTACATGATGAAAACAAAAGACTACCAAACCTTCCGATGTTCAAGATATGTTACTCGTTTTTTTAATAATTTTCAGTTAAAATACTGTTATATTAGTGATATTCTATTTATACTGTGGTTGATATAATACATTCACGGAAATGTAATATTTTTTGCTGAAATGACGTATGTATTACAGTGGAAAGTGGGATAAAATTGTGACGAAAACAATGACGTTTGCTTTCTTTCGTTCAAAATATGTTACCGTAATCGCTTTTCGAATGGTTTTCAGTTAAAAAACTATTGTATTACAATAATATTCCCTCCTAATTGACTTGAATGGAAATATACAATATTTTTGTTGAAACTACCCGCGTTTCAGTGTAAAGTGTCGTAATAATAAATGGTAAACAAGTTTTTAGGATGTAGTGTTTTTCTGAAGGTTTTGTTGTTCCTTTACCCTCAAAAACTTGGGTCGACCTATAAACGAGGAATATCATAAATTAACAATTTCTTGGTCAAAAACCAGGGTCGACCTATATACGAAGGGGGGTTATAGACGAGTATATACGGTATATATTATCTTGATAAAACTTTGACTCAAGTTCAGGCACTTTTTCATTATCTTCATAGATCTTAAGCATGTCAATGATTATAAAAGTCCTATTATATCACATGCTCTTGTGATGTACAGTATTTGGTTTGAGCAAAGTCCTATGTTGGCAAGGAACTGGGAGTGAAGGGGCATGAAACTATATTAGTCCAAATCTTGATCCTGATTTAAATTTGTAATGTACAGTACTGTACTTGATGAGAAACCTGCTAAGTATTCAGCTTTCTGTAAAACACCTTTCAGTGAGGTAGGGCAGCACACACATCATATGTAATGACATGCTTTGTCGGGGAGTTTATTACAGGAATCTATCAGGTACCATGTTTTCTTCCCTTCCAAAAAGCAGATTTTATCAGTCTATATTTTTGTAAACAAATATTCCTGGTACAGTAAAGTGTACGATTAATCTGAACTTGTCCTTCCTGCTGTGTATGTGTTGAGGGGCAACTGATAACATCTTTGGATCACGGGGTAACTGATAACTCCTCATTTAATGATTACGTGATAGCTCATATTCTCACTGGTGGTATACGTCTTGGCCTCAGGTGCTTAGGTCTCAGTCTCAGGTGCTTAGGTCTTGGTCATGGGTGCTTAGGTCTTGGTCTTCAGTGCTTAGGTCTTGGTCATGGGTGCTTAGGTCTTGGTCTTCAGTGCTTAGGTCTTGGTCATGGGTGCTTAGGTCTTGGTCTTCGGTGCTTAGGTCTTGGTCTTGGTCTTGGTCTCAGACATCTGTGTTCTTGGATTATTACTCAAGACCATAAATTTATTTACTGTATTAATTTTGGGGTCTATTGGGAGGGAGTAATCAACTGGCTAAGTTGGGTTCTGGTAGGGAAGATACCTTACCTCACCTCAGGTCACTAGTGTACTTAAACCACTAATTTAGCAAAAGTAGGGATTTCCTGTAGTCAATTTTGTTAGGCAAGATGTTCCCGTAACAAATATGACTTCAATGTAGTTATGGCAGCAGAATAAAAGGCCAGGTTTCCATTGTTGGTTAATCTGGCACTGATGATCTAGTTTAATTTTGGCTTCACTGCTCTGGTTGAATACATATTTAGCCGTGAGGGATAACAGAGGCCCCATAGTTGCCGAACATCTGCATAGGTACTGAATATGTTAATGTTTCTGAAGTTTAATGAAGTAATTATAAAGTACCTGGATATGATCAACAAGCCCTTTGTAATACAGTGAAACCTCCATATAACGGACTTCTCTCTCTATGTAGTCCATTAGATGGGTGTTTCACATCTAACGGATACCTCGATATTACAGACTTTGTTCTCTATAGTATTTTAGATGGAGGTTTTACATCAAACAGACCCTTGATATAACACTTTCTTCTCCATATAGTCCATTAAATAGAGGTTTCACTGTAGATACAGTATAACCCCAATAAATAAATATGAACTAAAGTACTGTATATATACTGTACTGTATTCTGTATTTAATTATGTTTGCTGTATTTGTATCATGAGATTAAAAAAAATACAAGTCATTTGATAGATGCTTTAAAAATACTAATTTATATGCATGTGCATAACCTGAAGATACATCCCCCCACCCCCAAATAAGTTCTCACCTGAAGATTGGCTCTCAGTTTAACCCACCTGAAGTATAACCACCCTTAGGCCACCTAGAGGGCTTATCTTAAAGTGACAGGACCTCGGTACGTCCCACAAGTTTAACCGTCCCATTACAGAAAAAACCCCAAAAGAATGCATCTCAGAACATCAGTGTTATTAAATTGTTTAAGTCAGATATTAGCTGGCCAGAACTCGGTGTTTCTTTAAAGTTGAATACACGTTCCCTGCAGGCTCAGCGGAACGGATTTTGTCACTGTTTTCATTATTTAGAATACTGTACCTGTACTGTATATATAAACTTTCATAAACAGTAAAAAACACAGTTTTTCATGTCATTACAGACTCTTTATCTGTATCATGGATAAATTACAGCAGTACAGGGTATATGTACTTAATTTTGACTACCCGTACAGTACTAAACTCATTTGACTTTATGAATAGTGTAATTGTTGCCTCATTAATTGTATACTGTACAGACAGAGGGGAGAGAGGGAGAGTTACCAAGATGTGTTGATTGAGTGGGTTATTTTTTATGTTGGAGTGATAAATACTTGTTTGTAGCAAATGTGAATAAAAAAACAAACATGTGAAAGAATTTTCAGAAAACCCATGTGAAATATTGTGAATACTGTACCTGGAGGAACTCTGTGATGTTTGGTAAGGTCAAACTGGATATCATCCTTCTCATGTGTGTCTGGGCCAACCAAAACTTGAATCCATGACATAATATAGCTATCCCCGCATATATGAATTTGGGTCCTGGCAAGATTCAGATTATGTGTCCCCAGCAGTCAGCTAGGGTGGCCACATCCTCCTAGCACTCTTCCTACTATGGTGAGGTAGGAGTTATGTTATGATTATTTTTCAACTCATAACTTTGGGTAAATAAACATAACGTTTTTCATATTTATTTTTATTCAGTTACATGCATACACAATCCTACATACAGAATGTGTAAAAAAAAGTACGTAGAAGAAATAACAATCATAAGGTCAAAACATAAAGGGAATAAACATTTCTTTTTGTGTGAGAGCGGGAGAGGGAGTGCTGCAGTCTGCAGAGGTGGCCGGGCTGATTGCTATGGCGATGCTTGAGTGTGTTCTCACATGAAGCAGCCAGTGTCTATGCAAATGGCACTGCTGGTGGGTGTTGGGGTATTTTTGTCACTGAGGAACCAAACCTTATTTTCCCATATGTTTTTGTGTTCTAGATACAAAAATTCTCCTAATAAATATTTTTTTTTTATTTGAAACCTAACCCATTTGTATCTTGAGGGATACCTGTACAGTACAGTACTGTAGTGAGAAATACAGGGTATGTGTGTTACCACTGCACCACCATTGTTATTTTTGCTAAGGAAAATATAGGTTCAGTATCCAAAAGCTAATGGTTTGATTCCTTCAATACAGTACTGTACCTGTATACTGTATACCATTTATATTGACTGTCATCTCTCTAACATTTTCATTGTGTTATTTCTTGCATTTTCATTAATTTTAATGCTTCCAGTCTCTTGAAACACGCTTTACACTTAACATTAAACATACTGTGTTCTCATATGATCAGCCTGTTATGGCTTATAGTTCATCATGATTAATATACCATCTTCATTAATAGAGAAAAAATGCAATATGTAATTTGTAATATGACTTGAAAATAAAAGGATAAGCTGTATCGGAAGGTCATCATTTAGAATGCATTCGTGTGTGAGCTTTTAGCAGACCAGCTTACAACAGGGTCACTATAACACACTGTATAGTATTTAATATGAAGAAACCTTCCCAACAACATTATTTATTACCTTTAAGTGATACATGTTGGCGCACTTTGGCTACTTGTACACTTAGACAACTGATTAATGAATAAACCAGGGTATATGTAGATAGATAATACTTTACACTACAGGATTACTTATTATGTGATGATAAATACACTACAGGATTACTTATTATGTGATGATAAATACACTACAGTAGTAGTTATTAAGTGGTGATAAATACACTACAGTACTAATTTTAAAGTGTTGAAGACAGATGTTGTGGTAGGCAGCTTAGCCTATTAGCTGTTTGTGCCAAACAGTTTGGCCTTTGTAAACAAATGGCTCATGATGTTCAGTGTGGGATTCTTTTTTCAGGAAAGTTGATTCTTTTTTTATAATATTTTATCTACCTGGCACCAAATGATCCTAAATTATATGAGAATTGTGGTGAAATTTCATAAAGACATGTTAAAGGTATCTTGGGGGAGAGAGTCACCCATCCACCCGCCTTCTCCCCTCTGCCAGCTGCTCCTAGATGTACACTCGTCTTCCACATACAATATACTCCTACACTTATTTGTTCTTATTTTTATCTTTATAGTACTGTACAGTATACAGTTTTCTCTTTAATTCACAAGACAAATTCTGTGGTTACTTACATATTACACTTATAGTATATAACAATCATCTCGGTGAAAACAGTTGTTGACAACCAGATTTATATGTCTGATTTTCAACCCAGTGTTTTTGGACTCTCGCATTTTACGGACTGGGGTCTGCCCCAATTAGTCTGATTTATCGAGGTTCTACTGTACGTACAGTATTGAGGTTTTTAGTCATTAATTTAATTATTTGAAAATTCCGTTTACTCCGTATGCAGACAATATCTTTAACCCCTTTAGATAAGAAATGTGATATTTATATAAATTTATTACTTTGACATTCATAGATGTATGTTATCATGTTGTACAAGCATACATGTAAGTGTAATTTAGTGAAATACAGTCTTTGTAATGGGCAGGGGCCTGACTAAGTGTCATTTGAGAGCAAGCTGAAAGAATGATATGTGAAACATTTCCTGTATAGTACAGAAAATTTGCCTGACAAAACTAGAGAAAAAAGACCTCTATGATTAGATTATAATGCATTCATCAGTGTTGTTTTCATACAATCATAAGTTCTTTATAAGTACTGTAATGTCAATACCAAAGACCATCAGCCCAATGATAGATCTGATGTTATTTAGTCTAATGTGATGTTTTCTAATCATTCAAAATTTTGGTTAGGAAATAGTATGAGGTGTCCTTGAACAGCTAGTCAGTGACCATTATAGATAGAATTTCTGGCAGTTCCATCAGTTGTAACTAATAAGAAAGATTAAAACCCTGTTGTGAGGTTTAAATATTGTATGCATATAAAGATGGTTGAAAATTTGATGCCGTCCAAACCCCGTGTTGGATGGTGCAATCACAGTACAGTACAGTACAGATGTTAACTCTGTGTAAACAATAACATGTAAGGCGAGGGACTACTTTATTTAGTATTGCAGTATATTAATGGATTGTGAAAACATACCAGTAATATCTCTGTTAGCCAGAATCCCTTTTAACTGGAACTCTCCATTGCCTGGAATTGAAATTTGCACAGAATTTTTCTGGAAAATTTATCTCAATTCTGGGTCTGTGAACCATTTTCCAGGGTTGAAAATGAGGCATATTTTAAGAAAATTCCAGAAACTCTTTCCAATTTTTTTTTCTCCGGGTTTGGGAGCAAATTTTGAGAATGAAATACTGTAATGTGCAATTTCTGGAAAGCTTTTCCCAGTCGCCGGAAAAATTCCGGGGATGAGAGATTTTTCCGGGTTTGAGAGAATTGTCTCGTTACCTGGAAATCTCTGATATCCGGAAGTGCTCTGCACCAACAGTTCCGGCTAACAGGGATATCACTTTTTTTTAGTACAGGCAGTCAGGTGGAATTTTGATGCATTTTTGGAAGCTAATTCGGTGATATAGCTAAGGGAGCTAGTTAGATACATGCTTACATCTCTAGTAATGATGAAACTTTTAATGGATGGATCTTTGAGAGTCCAAGGCCAGCAAGACAACATAGAGCACATTTCCCACACATACATAGGTTATTGTGTAATGCAGATGGAGCCTGATAACAGCTTTATGCACACAAAAAATAAAATGAAATTATACAAAAGATTTTGAGATGTATACAGTATTGTACATAAGAGGTGTTTCTGCTGTATTGTGTTGTGTGATAAATGACTATAATTCACGTTGTATGTATGTAGTTGTTTTATTATCACTGAGTAAAACATGTATACTGTAAACAATATTTTTATTTGGACACCTATAACCCAGAAAGCTCAGTTATCCATTTATTCCTATTTGTTCATCTGATATCTGGTTTCTCTATTTACCTCTCCTAGGCAAAGTGCTTTGCATTTTTCCACATGAAATTTCATATGCCATTTTTGAGACCCTGCGAAAAATAGATCTTCCTGTAGTTTTGCCGAGTCCTCGGCAGATTTAATTACTTGCCCTATTTTAATGTCGTTAAGAAATGTATTTATGTGGCTTTCTACGCATATATCTATGTCCACCAGCTGTAACAATGGCTGGAGGCTTTTACCTATTGGTTTTTAAAAATAATGAAAACAGTTTTGACAGCTAATGCCTAATGGTATATAAATTTTGAACTGAGGACCACTATGGCTTACAGAAATTGCATCTCGCAATGATAGTAATAACTTGAAATCATCAAAGCATCAATTCATTTAACCTCATTGCTCAATATCTCTTTTGAGCTCGGCTAATTTTCATCTTGTGTTTTTGAGTCTGTGCCTCCCCAGTTTCCATTGCAAACATTTTAATTTTCTCCTTAAAAGTGAGTTTCTCTGGTCCAGGATTTTTAGCAGCTGTTTGCTTGGCTTCCTTTTGTCGTAGACGTCGCATGCGGGGATTCCTGTAAAGACAAATGATGTTAAAATACTATACTGTACATGCATTCATTGTTTTTATTGTGATTTTGACTCTTCCTTCTTCTCACTATTAATCCTCTGGTACTCCTGGTCATGGTCAGAAATCTCAACCACCCGCGGTCTTTCGATGCAAATAGTGTCACTTATAATCTCACCCACTTAGAGATGCCTCTTTCAGCCCACAAGGCTAGTGGGAAGAACTCAAGTTATTGATAGGGCCAGTTCACTGTTTCAGCATTTCTGCTTATGGGAGGGGTTCTCTCAGTGTGAGATATGACTGAGCAGGAGGGGTCAGGCCAACACTGGAGCGCTTAGCGATGCAATCTGTGTCAAAAGACCATGAGAGGGTTAAAATGAACTAGTTTTTCTACTGAAACAAAACCTACAGCAATAATTTTTAAAACCTGTCCCACTTCAATATTACAAGTAGAAGTCCAAAAATCCGGACTGCTTGGGAATTGGGTCGGTCCGGATTTTCGGATTTTCCGGATTCTCGGGCAGTACAGTACTTTTAAAATTCAAATTTAAGGAGGAATGAAGAAAAGATGAACAGGTAAATTTTGATAGTTTATTCATTAGCAAATATAGCATGCTTCATTTATCAAAACGAGCAGTTTTAAAGAAAAAGCTGTGAATTCTAGAATTTTATTCTTTGCCTTTTTAATATCATAAATTGTAGACTTTCCAATGTCGTATGTTTCCATTAGAACAGTATTGCTCACACCACGTTCTAGTTTCTTAATTATTTCAAGTTTGTCACTCAATTTCAACGTGTTGTACTTTCTCTTCACACAGTGAAGTTTATCTACTTTAGGAGCCATTATTATGGGCTTGTACAGTACTCTGTAAATGGAAAGAATAGGACTCAAAGTTACATACGTTGTCACAGTTTGATTGCTCGTTTTAAAGTGGCGACCGTGTGGTCGCTTGTTGTCGCTGTGGCACTCACGCATGCGCACATACACACAAAAGCCAGCTAAATTAAAAAAAAAAAAATGAGTTCGAAAAGTCCGGATTCTCGGGTGGTCCGGATTTCTGGCATCCGGATTTTTGGACTTTTACTTCTTATATTTTCTCCCCTCATGGCAATAAAGGAATCCATTAGCTTTCACAAGGTTACTGTTTCTGGAATACCTTACAAACGCAGATAGTGTTCTGAAAGGTGGAGCACATCTGCAGCCACTGAGGCTTTACTGGCTGATGATCCACATGGCATGGTAGGTGATGCACCATTATGTTACTGTATAAGATTAAATAAATATATTTTACCATATAAGTAATAAATAGCATGTTAAAAAACTAAAGACATACCAATGATAAACACTTAGGACCGGACAGACATATAATTTGCAATACTGTACAGTAAGTCCTCGTTTAACGTTGCCCCCGACAACGTTGTTTCGCTACTCTAGATACCCATGATTTGGACAACGTTCCGCCAATTCGGTATAACGTCGTCACGGACTACTTTGTACGGCGCATCACCCAGTCAGAGCGGGAGGAGGAGCCACTCTCCGGGTCTCAGTGACTCGTTACACTCCTCCTCTCCCGTCCTCCTCCTCTCCCACCCTCCTCCTCTTCAATACCCACCACACACTCGCTCCACCTTCGCCTATCAGCAAGTACAGTCGGCCCTTCACATACGCGGGTTTAGCATACACGGATTCGCAAATACGCGGATTGCCCCGCCTGAGGAATATTCTGTACGTTGAAGTAATTGAAGTACATTCAAATCGCGCGCCGCCCGCCACCCCACACACACACACGCGTCACGCCACCCCGCGCTCCCTCACTCAGTCAGTCTCGCTGTAACCACGCTTGTGTTGACATCAGCATTGTAGGTCGACCCTGATTTTTTGACCAAAAAATCGTTAATTTATGATATTCCTTGTTTATAGGTCGACCTAAGTTTTTGAGGGTATTGGAACAACAAATCCTTCAGTAAAAACGCTCTACGTCCTATAAACTGAGGCTCGCCGTGCCTGAAACACAGAGTGCCGAAGGCAAATTGTTTACCATTTATTATTACGACACTTTACACTGAAACGCGGGTAGTTTCAACAAAAATATTGTATATTTCCATTCAAGTATTTATTCAAGTCAATTAGGTGGGAATATTATTGTAATACAACATTTTTTTAACTGAAAACCAGTACTGTACACTAATGTACAACAATTTTTATCTCTTGAGCAAAATATATGACATTTATATTCAAATTATTGGCTGTCTTGCAAGGATTCCAGCAATGCAAATTATAATCTAACTTTAGTCTGAGATATTATATAAGATAAAAACTGTAAGCCTAAATAAACCCCCGGCTGAGCAGATGGGGGAGGGACGGAGCCAGCCAGCCAGTGAGGGTGGGTTGAGGTGATATGTTTGACAGTTTGAGCCGAAGGTCTCTGTGTGTTTATTTAACAGTCCTAATATGCTTCTCCCATTTTAAAATGCCAGTGAAATGACCTGGGAGAATATAATTAACGTTGCTGGGATTCTTGTAAGACACTGATTAGTTTGAATAGCAATATGCTCTAATTTGCACTAGACATAACAATTTGAGTACCGTAATGAAATTAGTACATGTACACTCCAGCTTTGCACTAAGGTCATTTATTTCTTTTAGTACGGTGTGTGCATGTAAATGGATGAAAATAAATGAAGAAATTTATGTAAATCTACCCAAAATACAGTTGAAAACTTTATACTGTATTATAAAATGTACTACACAGTATTGTACACTAATGTACTACATTTTTGTATCTTGAGCAAAATATATGACGTTTATATTCAAATTATTGGCTGTCTTGCAAGGATTCCAGCAATGCAAATTATAATCTACTTTAGTCTGAGATATTATATAAAATAAACACCTTAAAGAATAAAGTTATCACCAATCTTTTGTCTGGGAACACAAGGAGGGAACAGGGGGTGGGGGGTGGTGAGGTGACAGTGTGGTGTTTGTTTATTTATTTGAGATAAGATGTGACAATTGGCGCTGAAGGCCTACGTGTTTATTTATCATTACTAAAGAGTGACTAAGCTCTTCTCATAATTTGTCACCCAAACTACCTGGGTGAATATAACCTACATTGCTGGGATTCTTGTAAGATAGTGATTTATTTGAATACCTGTACAGTATAAACAATCTATATTTGCAATAGACATAACAATTTAAGTACCGTAATCATTTAGTATTGTACAGTACAGGTTTGTTCCACGGTAAAATATTTTGAACAGCGGAAGAAAGCGAAAGTCATTGTTTTCGTCATGATTTTATCCCACTTTCCACTAATACGTACGTCATTTCAGCAAAAATATTACATTTCCATATTTATTTCTGAGAATATATTCATTCAGTCACATTTAAGGTAAAATATTCTTGTGATGTAATATTTTAATGAAAATACCCGGTATTTAGAAATACGGTATACAGTCAACCCTCGCTTTACGCGGTCCCACATTCCGCGTTTACGCGGTACCCTGCCGAAACAGGACTGCTCACATTCCGCGGTGCGTGTACCCCTTTACGCGGAGCGGCTGGCGAGCCGCGCCATTTTTGGATCCAAACCTCCCGCCATCCGCCATGTTGTGTAAGCGGCGCGAGCATGGTGCGCATAAGGTCACCCAGTCATCAAAACATTACCGAGTTCTTCACCCGCCACCCACCACAGCCGGCTCAAGTCAGTGATAGTGATAATTATAGTGAGGATATGGACTTATATGGACTTTGAGGGGTTTGACAAAGAGGCCCTACAAGCCTCTGTGGTGGATAGTGATACAATTGATACAAGTGATACAGGTGAGGGCCAATAATCTGCCCTCTGCCTCGGAACCAACCGCCCATCCCCGTGTGCCCAGCCATCTTTTCTACTAATGTAAGTGTTAAAAAACCTAATATTATTGATATTTCTCTTAATTATTAATTGTGTGTGCATACCATCATAAAGTTAAGATAATATTTTTACTACAGGTACAACATAGTTGTGTGTCGTCAAAAAGTGGAGTTTGGGGGTCGGCCCGGTCTCTATTTCAATTAATCCCATATGTTATGTTGTTCACTTTACGCGTTTCTCACTTTACGCGGTACCCAGTGGGTTGAATTAACTGCGTAAAGTGAGGGTTGACTGTAGTAGTTTTCTTTTGTTTCAAATTTAATTAACAAAGTTTGATGTTTCAAATGTAATGAACAAAAATTTATGTACAGTATCTATAAATATACTTTAAAAAATGAATAATTTATGTTTTACATTGTCCTGTGCATACCATACCATGCATTTGGCTACTTTGGGCTTGCTATGATGACGCAAGAGATCTGCCCTGGCAACTGTACCGACTGGTGGTGCGTTGG